TGAATTGGTGTTTGGCTGACCCTCCTTGTCTGACCTCTCTTTCAATACTGACCTGACATTACAGGGAAAGAAACAGACAAATGATACACATCCTAATTCTATTTGGACCTATCCCTGAGTCTAGTCTTTTGATGGCTAAACTTCATTTGCTTGAATAATAGAGGCCGTATCTGCACCATACATTTAAAGCAGTATTATATCACATGAACAGTCAAAACATCTTGGGAACTGTTGCTTGCTAAGGGAGCTGAGAGTCGTCAGGAGACCACTGTTTTCCTCCCGGAGCTACAATATCTGAGTTCCCTGGGAAGAGGAATTGATTTACTCTCAAAACCCTTAAACTACAGTTCCCAGGATTCTTTGGGTGAAGCCACGACTGTTCGGAGCACAATGCTTCAAATGTCTAGCGCAGATGGTGTCAAAGAGTCAACCCCTTTGCAAGGGAGGAGGGGAAGAAAATCAGAGCAAATTGGCTGCACCCATGGGACCTCCTTGGTCCCACCCATGTGATCTTACTGGAAAAGCTCAGAGGGAGATGGTCTGGACTTGGGCTCCTAGTGGTGGGAAACTGGCTGCACCCCAGAGGAGGGAATGAGCTGGGAGGTACTGGAGGCTGGGAACGTGATGGATGATGAAAAGGAAGAAACATACACAGAGCAGAGACAGGAATCCACAGGAACTCCTTGGCCACAGGCCACCCCCACTAGGTTCAGGCGTTACTAATCATCATTGGTGTTATGTACTGAAGTTCTCACCCTGGGCCAGCAGGGGGATACTGTAGATAGTTATGCAAATAAGGGATCGAAAGTGACGTTCAGTGATTGGATAGTTTTAGAAAATTGTTACAGTTACGTTGTACTGGAGCTCTATATAAGCAGGCTGACTGAACCCTTCAGTTCAGTTCTCTTCTGGCCTGTGAATAAACAAGAGCTGTTTGAAGAATCGCTGTGTCGTCTGATATGTTCACCCACAACTTAACAATTGGCCTCCACCCTAGGGAGAAACACAGAAAAAGACTTCTCTTGATCTTAGGGAGCAGGCAGAATGGAATCCTTCGGATACCCTGAAACCAAGCTATTGGGGTCTTTACAGGTATTCACTGATATTTTGAATAAAGTCAGTATCAGAGAAGGCACTCATGGAAGACCGCCAGGGAATACTTCTCTGAGCAGGAAGCTCTGGAAGCCAATATATATCTCTATTCTGCACTGAGATTTTCTTGCCCCCTCTGTCGCAGATGAATAGAGTCTTGGAAAGAGAACGATGGCCCCCTGTTGCGGAACAGGCTTCCTGGTGAAACTTGCATAACACCTGTCGCGCCGCGAGGTTATTTCAGTGCCAAGGGCTGCTTTGTTCTCCTCAGACATTTTAACTGTGAGGCTTTTTAAAGTCTCTGTTGATTGGTATTTCAGATGCTCTGCTTTCGTTACAGATCTTGTTTAGCTGCATGGATTTTATTATCCTTGTTTCATTTCGTTGTGTCTCTATTTTTATTGTGAAGGAGATCTGGGGAAGCTTGTTTTATGGGTGGGGTAGAAATAACTGAAAAATAAGGGAACGAAAAGCTCCGCTCAGAGAAGTAGCCACTGTAATTCTCTAAAGTTACACTGCTCATTTAGTCCAATGGGTCAGCAGATCACTCTTGTGATCCAGGTATTGCCCATATGCGTCTCTGAATTCTGCAAGGCAGCTTTTCCAGCCAAGCAATGTGTAGAAAAATACATATATGGGTGAAAGCAGCATGCAAAAATCCATTATAGGAGAGGGGTTTTTTTTGTAAAAATTGTGTATACAGTGGTACCTCAGGTTAAGTAGAGCCAGTGTGGTGTAGTGGTTAAGAGCGGTAGTCTTGCAATCTGGTGAACCGGGTTCGCGTCTCCGCTCCTCCACATGCAGCTGCTGGGTGACCTTGGGCTAGTCACACTTCTCTGAAGTCTCTTAGCCCCACTCACCTCACAGAGTGTTTGTTGTGGGGGAGGAAGGGGAAGGAGAATGTTAGCTGCTTTGAGACTCCTTCGGGTAGGGATAAAGCGGGATATCAAATCCAAACTCTTCTTCTTCTTAAGTACTTAATTCGTTCCGGAGGTCCGTACTTAACCTGAAATTGTTCTTAACCTGAAGCACCACTTTAGCTAATGGGGCCTCCTGCTGCTGCTGCGCCGCCGGAGCACGATTTCTGTTCTCATCCTGAAGCACAATTTCTGGGTTAGCGGAGTCTGTAACCTGAAGCGTATGTAACCCAAGGTACCACTGTATTGGGCAATGTTGCACACAAAATGTGTATATGAGGAGATGCTGGTTTTCATGAGGACATTAAAAAAACAAATCACAAACTGATGTTGAAATGTGAAGAACAGAACTTAATATTGGAAAAATGAGATTCCCTGCCCTTGCGTTGTGCTCCTGTTGCCTTGTGGGATATCTTTAATAGAAGAGAAGGCTAAGGACTAAACCCTGCACAAATCTGGAATAGATTTCCTAAGATGGTTGGGTGGCGCCCGTTACGCCTCTTTCTGGCAACTCCTGCAGCCAAGCTGGTGCCAAACGTATTGCTCTGCTTTCCTTTGGACCACATCAGCAAAGTCGAGAGGGGGGCCTTGTTGTCTGGGCAACCCACGACCTCCACACTGCCCAGGTTTGTGCCCCAAGGAGCTCACTTCAGTGCTGCTAATGCAGCAGTTTGACTTCACCCTCGGAGGTGCACTCCATTGTCTCTCGAGACAGATGGATGCCAACAACCGTTGAGTCACTTGGGGATGATGGTTGGCTGGTTAAGCCTCTATGACTGCTCCCATTCTTCTGAATCCGTTCCGATTTCCCAACTTCGAAGCCTGGGCAGCTCCCTTTGGAACGCAACCGAAATGCAAATCTAACCCACTTGGAAATGCACACCTTGCTTAGTAGGTCAGTCCTTTGAAGCGTGTTTCCTAAGCTGCTTCCACCGGCCCAATTCTGCGAGTCATCATTCCGAGGCGGCAGGATTGGTTGGATGGGGCCAGCTCTATCTCTAGCCTCCATCCCTGAGAATGTGTTTGTTTTCCACCGTGGGTGGAATCCCTGCCAACTCTCCGAATATTGTTTTCCAATCCTTAATCTGTTTTCCCCCGTAGGCGAAACTGACTTGTGTTCCTCTCTCCCCAGGACTTATGATTGCTCAGCATTTGATCTCCTCTTGCCCTGCCCTCAGATTCACTCCAAGTTCTCTTCTTAGATCATAAAGCAAATATGTCAAGATAACTGGGGCAGTGTCACATACGACTGCAGCAGCAAGAATGTGGGGCTGGGGACAAGGGGAGTGGTGTTTTTTTAAGCAGACAACTATCTTGTAATACTGACCGCACTGGTTTTTGATGTTTTCAGGCCCTCTTCGAGGTGATGGTTACAGGCTGGCCACATAGGCCAGGCATCCCCAACCTTCGGCCCTCCAGATGTTTTGGACTACAATTCCCATCATCTCTGACCACTGGTCCTGTTAGCTAGGGATCATGGGAGTTGTAGGCCAAAACATATTGAGGGCACAGGTTGGGGATGCCAGCATGACTAAACCACTTCTGGCGCAATGGAACACCGTGACAGAAACCAAAGCGCATGGAAATGCGTTTACCTTCCCGCCACAGCAGTACCTATTTATTTACATGCGCTGGTATGCTTTTGAACTGCTAGGTTGGCAGGAGCTGGGGATCCGAACCGCTGACCTTCCAATCAGCAAGCCCAAGAGGCTCCGTGGTTTAGACCACAGCACCACCCACATATCCTGAATAGAAGCACTCCACAAAGTGACCTTTCATTGCAGGTACCACTTGAGTATCTCAAAAGATCTGTGTTATCCCTGATTTTCTTGTATCTATCCATATCCTGCTCTCCTCCCAAGAAGCTCAGCACATGCTAGATGGACTTACCCAATTCTATCCTAGCAACCTTGGGAGTTTGGCTGGGGTGAGATTTAGTGAGGGAGAAAGGTCATAGCTCTGTAGAACATCTGCCTTGCAAGCAGAAGTTCCTAATGTCAATCCGCAGCATCTCCGGGTAGGGCTGGGGAAGAACCCTGTCTGAAAACCTGCATTGCTGCTGCCAGTCAGTGGAGACAGTACTGATCTAGATGGACCAATTACTGTATTTTTCGCTCTATAGGATGCACTCCCCCCCCCCCAGAAATTAAGGGGAAATGTGTGTGCGTCCTATGGAGCGAATGACTGGCCGAGTCAGTCCCTTCTCCCTCCTGTGGGCTTTTGCGGGCGATGGGGGAATTCCCCCACCTCCCGCAATAGCAGGGAGAAGGTCTGGGAGAAGTGCACAGCCTGTCCGCTGCTCCCAGAGCTGGGGGGGGGTCATATTTTTTTCCTTGATTTCCCCCTCTGAAAACTAGGTGCGCCCTATGGTCAGGTGCGCCCTATAGAGCGAAAAATATGGTAGTCTGACTCTGTATAAGGCAGCTTCCTGCATTATGTCATTTCCAAGTAAACTCCAAGTTGTGGGAATTTTAACCACTGCTGCACACTCTTAGTTGCCAGCATCCTTGATTCATCTCTCCACATTTCCTGGAACTTGTATTTTAATTTTCAGCTCTTTGTCACACAGATGGGCTAATATAGATTTCTAACCAGCCTTTGAACTTGCAGTGTTCTTTAATAAAAAAAACAACAGAGGCCTATCTCCTGGGAGTTACAGATTTGGATATTCCGCAAAAAATGAAGGGTATCTTTTTATACGCCACGGCGGCAGCGAGAGTTCTTATCGCGGCAAAATGGAAGAGTATTGAAATTCCCTCTATACATGAATGGATCCAAAAGCTGACTGAATTAGATGGTCTATCAGAAAAAATAAAGAATAAATCAAAACAGGAATTTGTCTGAAAATGGGAGGTTTTCAAAGAATATTTGAAATATAAATATAGTAGTTTAAACTCTGTTACAGCATTCAAGGAACTTCAGTAATAGCTGCAAGTTAGACATAAGAGTTAAGATATATTAAGAAAAAGTTAAATTATGATAAAAGTGTGTATTGGCATTAAGTAATATGAAATTGAAATAAGGAATAGATGGGAGGTCGGGTCTATAGTGTTAAGACCAACTTATGTTTTATAGTTTAAGAAACTTTTGTGTTTATTGTTATTCCTGTGTGTAATTCTGTATCTGTGTTTTCTCTTTTTTCCTTCTCGCTATATCAATAATAATAAAAAAGAACTTACAGTGTTCAGTTGTATAGTGGAAAAGAAACAGGTGAGTGGGTCAGGTGAGTAATGACATCATTTTGCAGAATTCCACGGTGATTGATGGCTCTTCCTTGATCTGTCAAATGAATGTGATGATAATGAGACTTTCAAGTCTGTTTGTGGCAAATTAGCATAGTGGAAGTCGGGAGAGAAACAATCAAACAGAGGCAGGGAAATTCTTTCATTTTCTTTGATGGGTGTCCGACTTCACAGAACATTTATTTGCAAGGTCATTTGCATTTCTAAAGTTTGTATTTCAGCTGGCTGAAAATCTTTTCCTAAAGCTCGGGGTGTTTTACAAGTGGAATATCTCCAGCCAGAACAGAAGAAAGTGCCACAGAGGTTAACGGAGTCTACTCCCAGGAAACTAGGCATGAGATTGTGGTCATTCTTATCCTAACACACTGGGTATTATGATATGGATTACTTCTCTTTGGCAGGGTGTGTATGTATAATGAAGGAGAGTCAGAAATGGATGAACATAGCTGCCTGCATTTATAGATTCTCCTTGGGGACATGACAACAGGAGCTGTCATGGTGAGCTCCTGCGTTTCAACATTTGCCACGACACCTCTGGCAGCATTCCTCTCTGCGTCTAAACTGGGACCTTTGAATCAGTTGATGTCAGCAGCTGGAGTTATGCCTTGTTGCACATGAGAAGGAGGGAAGGCAGCCAGTAGCTTCTGAGAGGTGAAGGCAGCTTCCATCTGCATGAGCAACCTGGCATCGCCCCAGATCAGTATCTGTCAAGGGCAGGTTTCATAGTCTTTGCTGAGGCGGAGGAAAAATTGGGGGGGGGGGGAGAGGTGGAGAGTTCTATATAAACCATTTTAAACAAAAGACCAACGTTTCCCTGCTATGGCGGGGATAGAGAACTGGACACAAGACGCTAAAGGTTTCACAAAGACAAAGAGCGTTCTGCCTTCCCTAATCTCATAATCAGGGCCGGCCCACCCATGAGGTAAGGCGAGAAGACCGCCTCGGGTGGCAGAATCCACAGGGGCAGCAGATCCAACCTCCAAGGAATGCATTTCCTACTGATGCTGCTGCTGCTGCGATGACAGTGATGGCTGTGATGTGCTCCTTGGAAGACAGATCTGTCTGCTGCTCAGCAGCTCCTTCTGGGGTCTCTTGGGGTCCAGGGGCAGAGGAAGGGGGCGGTGGGGGCGTTCTGCTCCGGGTGTCATCACTGAGGGGGGTGACATTCGGCGTGCCGCCCTCCCACGACTCCCAAGCCTACCCCGAGCCATCGGGGGAAGGGACAGAGCTGTGCTGTCTTGCCAGCAGCCTTCCCCCCTTCCCCCTTTGTTTTGACAGTTCAGGGGAGGCTTGGGAGTCGTGGGCGGGCAGCGTGCCATTGCCCCCCGCTCCCGGGCTGCTTCCTGGGAGGGAGGCCTCCCCCCTGCTGTCAAAAGGAAGATGGAAGGGAGGAAGGCTGCTGGCAAAGTGGCGACTCCCCACACACCCCCCAGGAAGCAGCATGCCATGAGCAGCTCACTCCACCACCCCATGGGCGGCTCGCCCCCTGGGAAACTCGCCACGGTGCCCTCCTGGGACGCTCATCCCGCCCCCATGGCCCTTCCCCTGGGTGCACAGTATGTGCACCGCTCTGGGTGCCAAAGGAGCTAGCTCTGCTTCTGCTGGGGTGTACACCTTCCCGGCATAATTCAGAGTGGATCCCTTCCCAGTCCCGCTGCGGCGGCCTTTGATTCCCACTTCAACCATCTGGGGAGGTTGATTTGATTCTGTCCCTTGTTCCCAGTGTAGATCTTCGCTCTTCCTTCCCTGGTGGCGGGGACGGATGCCATTTTGTGGATCGCCTGAGGTGCCAAAATGTCTTGGGCCAGTCCTGCTCATAATGTTGGATGTCCAAAGATGTTGAATGTTGGGAGATTCGGCATGGACAGAATACTAAAGAGGTATCCACCCTATTCTTGTGACTCATTTGTTTTCACTGCTTTTGATACTGAACCTTAAATTATGTTAGCCTGCTCTGGAATCTGCTGGTAATGGGTGGGTAATAACTTAGACAACAACGTTCTGCCTTGTTTCTTTCTGAATCCCTAAAAAAACAAGATAGATGGTGTTTTGAACTGGCGGATACCAGCCCAGAGTAGTAGCTCTCAGGTGGCTTTATTTATTCATACTTAAGCACTGCTGCTAGTGGATGTCATTAACCCAGATGAGGTCAATTGACAGAAATGTCACATTTCCCACTGCAGCTGAACTTGTTTTCCTATCTACACCTCTCCACCCCAATCTTGCATACACCAGTAACAAAGGTCATGCTGTGACTGAATGAGGTAAATAGGCGTCCTATTTTCTGAACTCAACCCCTCGCTAAAAAATAGGGAAAGGACCTTGGGTGACTGGTCAGGCATGAGCTTGGAATACAGACAGGTATCTTGCTATATACTTAAAAGTCTCAGGGCAGACTGTTGAAAGAACAGCAGCAGGGATCATTCAGTTAATATACTAAGGGTTAATTTTGTTGACAGCCAACCAAGGAGCTGTGGCCTAGCAACTAGTCAGAATGCCATGAGCCTTGCGGAGGTAACTCTGATTGGCTGTGCACATGTCAGTGGTGGGTGGAGCCAGGAGCAAAAGTGGGTGGAGCAACAAATGTAAATTTTACCTCTGTATAGCAGGCTGGTTTCTACACAGACTTTCATATCCTCTCCATCTCGGCAAGTAGGAGGCAATATCAGGGTGTAAGGACACATTCCAGCTAGGCCGAAACCCTCAAGGTAGTTGTGGGGCTGGGCCAATGTGGAGATGGGATGTGGTCTGGGGAGAGTCCCAATGGCCAGATAGGTGTGGAGGACAGCCTCAGATCTCGGGTTCACCTGAGGTAGGCTTTGGTCTCATCCAGCTTGTGCTCAAAGCTTTCTCTTTTTTTCAATGGATAAAGAACTGAAGATTGACTGACAGTTTCTCCAAACAACTGCTTTCAGGATTTGAGAGAGGGAAAGGATAATTGCCACACCTAGTCTCCAGAAATATGCCAAGAATAATGAAGTCACAGAAACAAACGAATGCCTTAAAGCAAACTGCACGGGAAAATAACTTTCCAGGCAAAAACTCAGATGCTCAGTGCAACAGAAAGTTGTCACGTGGCTTGCCGCTGCCTCACCGGAAAGCAATCGGGCACGTTAGTGTAGATGCACATGGAGACAAAACCTGTGGTCTTTGCTAGGAGTGGTGTCTGGGCAATGACTAAGAGTTACCCCATCAGCTATTCCTCCGCCCCCTGCAGATTAAATTTTCATTTGTTGTTGTTTTCAATCAGCAAGGGATAAATGAATTTAGCAGGGTATGTGCCCTTTAAATATCAAGTGGAGTTGAAAGGTTTGTTTGCATGCAAGAGGGATGAACTTTTGACATTAAGGAAGCTTTGTGTGGTAATGGCCAGGTGAATCGCTTTGAGGTACCAGCTGCTCCCTCCAGCTTTCCAGAGTGCAGCTTTTGAAACTGATCAACAGTCCATTGAATGAATGGAGACTGAAAGAGAGAGAGAGAGAGAGAATCCTCTAGTTGAAGGGGCCTCAAAGGCTACCTAGTCATTTGTGCTTATATCTTCATTTTTATGCATAAAGGTAAATGTAAAGGGTCCCCTGACCATTAGGTCTAGTCGTGGCTGACTCTGGGATTGTGGCACTCGTCTCGCTTTACTGGCCGAGGGAGCCGGCATACAGCTTCCGGGTCATGTGGCCAGCATGACTGAGCCGCTTCTGGCGAACCAGAGCAGCACACGGAAACGCCGTTTACCTTCCCACCAGAGTGGTACCTATTTATCTACTTGCACTTTGACGTGCTTTCAAACTGCTAGGTTGGCAGGAGCAGGGACCGAAGAACGGGAAATCACCCCGTCGCAGGGATTCGAACTGCCGACCTTCTGATTGGCAAGTCCTAGGCTCTGTGGTTTAACCCACAGCGTCACCCGTGTCCCTTTTTTTTTTTATGCATGCTTCCCCCTAATACATGCTTTTTTGTAAACGTGGGGTAGGGGGAGAACCACCCTGCAAAATTCAGTAAGTGTGACTTTTGAAGGATGGTTCTGTTTCGGAGCTCATATTGTTTCTGAAAGTGTGGATTAGACAGTCACCTTTAAAGGTCTACTGAATCAACCCCTCGGATCCTTAAATGTGACCATTCACTCATTCATTTTAATAACTAGTTTGGCCCTCACACCAACCCCTGTTGGACTTCTGACTCTTCTCTCCTGTTTCTTTGAGAATGTCTTTCTTGACCCATCTTTGCAGTATCAACGGACTTGCTTCCTGCCACTTCATTTCCTGACTACTTCGGCTAATGTACTCGCCCGCAGCATGGTTTTGGAAACGGACCAGCTGGCTTAATTTTAGAACTTCTTCAGTGGGTAAAGTAAAGCTGACGCTTTGATTAGCTGAGAACTGTTTGCATGTCCACATCTCACACCCGCTATTGTGTTCACAAAAAGGCAACGTTAAGTCCAGCCACTGAAGTCAATTAGGGAGCATTTCCCCAAGCCTTCCTGCTTCTATTTGTGTGTATCCCTGAGAACCCTTGAAATTTCTCTTTTTCTCAGGAATGGGTGGCTCTCTCAGCTTTGGTTCCTTGCAGTTTCTTTCCCCCCCCCCCCAGTCTTAAAATAGGTGCTTTGTGCTTCCTCATCGGCCTGCATTCCTAAAAATTCATTAACATTTTAGTGAAAATTTATCCTAACCCAGTGGCATAGCATGGGTTGCAAGAGCCCAGGGCCGTGCGGAGGGGTGGGTGGGAGGGAGGGAGGGAGGGAGAGAAATGGACAGAATGCACAAGCGCATTCAACTGCCTAATGGCTTCAGTGTCACCCAGGAGATAGCAGCCACAGAGATAAGAAAATAAGAGTGGTTCTGTTGTGTGGAGAGGTCACTTCCTGGTTCGAATGGAGAAGCTGTTTTCAATGAAGCCCAGCGATGGAAATGGATTGAGGTAGCACCAGATGTTGAAATCTGGGCCCCTAACAATTTTGCACCCATAGCAGCCACCCTTGTGCCCCCCCATGCTATGCCATTGTTCTAACATACACATTAGTAAGCAATTTTGTATGATATACTCATTTTTTACAAAGCAATTTTGCCTAATATAACACCTTTTATGTATTTTATACATCGTTCTAAAAAAAATATTATGCATTTTAATGCACGCTTTACCTTAGCAGATGCATTTTTGTACATGTTGCTTGGTTGGAGAACTGTATTGCAAAATTCGGCGACATGCGACTTTTGAACGGTTGGCTGTGTTTCAGTTTTGGGATGTGCGATTCAGGTGGGTTCACCTTGACATGGAAACGGAATAGCATTTCTCTGCCTTCCCACCCCCTGCTCCTCTCTCCATCTTGCTCCTGCACTTCTGTTTCCTGTGAACATGCTCTTCATGTAATTAGTGGTTCTCAAACTTTTTGCTGCCTGCGCTGCTTGAAAACTGCTGAGGGTCTTGGGGGACAACTTAATCATTTTTTATTCCCCGCAGTAATTGTAATATGTGGTGCTAAATTCTGTATGATTTTTAATTGTGTTTTTGCAGAAACACCACGGGCCTCCCCTCCTCCCTTTCCCCCCGACCTCAAGATGCCTATGACAAAAGTGTCTCTCACTAAATGTAAACAAAGTGTGAAAAAGACTCTATAACTGAAAGTAGAGGTGATAGGTGTACCTTTCCCTGTTTATCTATTTGTTCTGTAACACACAAAAAACCTTTAATAAAAACTTTTTTTTCTAAGTGCAATAATAGTAATATTGGCCTATTCTAACCTATGGTTGGCAGTCAGGTATGCTGTGGTACATGCTCAGTATGAGCCTGTGTTGCCTAGCAACAGGTTCACCTCCAGAGGCTTCCTGTTTAGAGTAGTAAAATAAGGCCTCTGTGAGGGAAATGAGGCCTGGTTAGTAGTTTCCTGGATTAGAGCATGGTACCTATGAGCCCAAAGTCACAGTTTCAATTCCTGTATGGGCCAAGAGGGCCCCCCTTTTCTTTGTCACCCTATTCATCCCCACCAACTTAAAAAAAATAATGGGGGGGGACACAAATAAAGGGCAATTTTTACAAAGGTGATTTTGAAAATCCCTTGAGCGGATGCACAATTAACCAAAGACCCATCGGCACCATACATTTAAAGCAGTATCATGCCGCCTTAAACGGCTACAGCTTCCTCCAAAGAATCAAATACAGTCGTACCTCGGGTTGAATGTGCTTCAGGTTGAGTGCATTCGAGGTTGCGCTCCACAGCAACCCGGAAGTAACGGAGTGCATTACTTCTGGGTTTCACCGCTCGTGCATGCGCAGACGCTCAAAATGACGTCACACGCATGCGCGGAAGTGGCAAAACGTGACCCATGCAGATGCGCCGTCGCGGCTTATGTTGCGTTCAGGATGCGAACGGGGCTGCGGAACGGATCCCGTTCGCATCCCGCGGTACCACTGTTGCTACAATTCTCAGAAAGTCATAGGTTCTCTCCCCAAAATGAGAGGAACTGTAGTTTGTTAAGGGTGCTGAGAGTTGTTAGGAGACCCCATCCCCTTGCAATTCCCAGAGTTCTCTGGGAAGGGGGATTTGGCACTTTGACAACCAGGCATCTGCGAGGGGAGCATGGCTCTCCCAGCAACTTTGCACAGGAGGGTATTCAACATCAGATGCAGCTTTAACAGCACTTTCTCTCATCGGTGGCGCGAATTGTTGTGACGAGGGGATTTACTTCCTAGTGTTCCCCATATGTCAAGGTGGACAGGAGTCCCCAGTGCCTTGTTCACAGTCATGTTGAGAAGAGGGGGGTTTTTTTGGCAGGCACCCTTTGTCACGGAGACTTGAGAAATGCAGCATCTGCTGGTATTTTCTCCTCTGCGCAACTGTGAAAGCAGTAATTCCCAAAGCTGTGCCGGAAGACAGCTAGGGTAGCAGTGAAGAAACAAGTCGCAGCGTGGAGTGCTTATGACAGGATGCCAGCTAGCCTATTTCCAGGATACTCCATTCCCTAGGGTGCCATTTCTCTCTCCAGTGCAGGGGTCGGCAAACTTTTTCAGCAGGGGGCCGGTCCACTGTCCCTCAGACCTTGTGGGGGGCCAGACTATATTTTGAAGAAAAAAATGAACAAATTCCCACAAGTAACCCAGAGATGCATTTTAAATAAAAGGACACATTCTACTTAGGTAACTTGTCTATACGCCCATCCTGTATTTTTATACTAGTGTCCAAAAAATGTATTTCTTGCATAGATTGGTTCATTGTTAGGTTGATGGTATCTGAAGAAGTGTGCATGCACACGAAAGCTCATACCAAAAACAAACCTAGTTGGTCTGTAAGGTGCTGCGGGTGGGTTAAACCACAGAACCTAGGAGTTGCCGATCAGAAGGTCAGCAGTTCGAATCCCCGCGACGGGGTGAGCTCCCGTTGCTCAGTCCCTGCTCCTGCCAACCTAGCAGTTTGAAAGCACGTCAAAGTGCAAGTAGATAAATAGGTACCGCTCCAGCGGGAAGGTAAATGGCGTTTCCGTGTGCTGCTCTGGTTTGCCAGAAGCGGCTTAGTCATGCTGGCCACATGACCCAGAAGTTTTACGCCGGCTCCCTCGGCCAATAAAGCGAGATGAGCGCCGCAACCCCAGAGCCGGCCACGACTGGACCTAATGGTCAGGGGTCCCTTTACCTTTACCTTTAAGGTGCTACTGGAAGGAATTTTTGTTTGTTTGTTTGTTTCGACTACGGCAGACCAACACTGCTACCTACCTGTACTTAAGTAAGCCACCCCACCCCACGACTCTCCCCTCCTTTCTCCACACCACCAGACAAGCCCCAGTGGCTGCTTTCCTGTGTCTTGCAAGCAGCAGGGGCTGGCAGCGGGGGGACAATGGGCAGCACGTGAAAGGGCTCCGGAGAGGGGCTGGCAGCAACAAAGCCCGAATCGAGTCTGCTTACAATGGCGGCCGCTCGAGCACTAATGCTGCTGCTGCTTCTGGCACCAACAAAGCCCAGCCCCCTTCTCTCGGCTCTAGGCAGGGTGGGTGGAGGGAGGGAGAAGGCGCCGCCGAACGCATGCGCTGGCGCAGCCTGAACGACCAGATCCATGCCGATCCATGCTGATTCCCAGACCGTCCATGGGCCGGATCCAGCCCCCGGGCCTTAGTTTGCCTACCCATGCTCTAGCGCAGGGGTCAGCAAACTTTTTAAGCAGGGGGCCAGTCCACTATCCCTCAGACCTTGTGGTGAGCCAGACTGTATTTTGGGGGGGAAATATGAACGAATTCCTATGTCCCACAAATAACCCGGAGATGCATTTTAAATAAAAGCACACATTCTACTCATGTAAAAACACCAGGCAACCCCCCACAAATAAGCCAGAGATGCATTTTAAATAAAAGGACACATTCTACTCATGTAAAAACACGCTGATTCTCAGACCTTCCGTGGGCCAGATTTAGAAGGTAATTGGGCCAGATCTGGCCCCCAGGCCTTACTTTGCCTACCCATGCTCTACTGTGTGTGTGTGTGTGTGTGTGTGTGTGTGTGTGTGTGTCTCCCTCACATGCCAGTCACTCTCCAACAGTCAGTCTTCTGCACCCCATGAGCATACTCAGTCCTCAACCGGCTGGCCCACTCGTGAGGCAGGTCTAGCCCTGTGGCAGGACCCTGCTGATGAGCACCATGCGCCTAGCCGTCTGGCACTGGTGCTCTGGGCTTGTCAGAGGTTGTGACAGAGTGCTGGGCCTTCAGTGGACATGTGGCAATGTGCATCATGTGCGCGATTGGAGGAGGTCAATGGTTGGAAAGACCGGCCATTGGGAGCCGCCTCTGTTCCAGAACTATCTGGTAGTCCATTCTGGAAAAGAGGATGCTGGCCTTTGGTCTAATCCTTTGGGGATTTTCTTCTTTCATGTTCACCTTGGAGCACTTAAAAGGGTTTCCAAATCAAATGGGTGCTGTTTGAAGACAGTCTTGATCCTGGATAACTCTTTTCTGCCTGCTCCCACCCCAAAGTAAGCCCAGATAATAATAACAGTGGGCTGAAATGTGAGTTGCCGTCTCTAGAAAACACTGTGGGGGAAGAAGCCATTCGTTGTTCTAATAGAAGACAGGAAGTGCTTCATCACATGTATAATTTATGCTTGACTATGCTAGACACCAGTTATCCGTTATACCAGGCGGGGTAATTTCCTGTTTGTTTCTCCCTATGATCAATTATCTTCAGCCAACCTTCCAGTCACAACAGGGAAGTATTATTAATTTATTTAAGAGAATTTTGCCATTGTGGGAAGCTTTATTTCCTCGCCTTCCATTAATTCCAGTGATGACTGGAGGGATTCCTTTGAGCTGGCTAAACTAATAATAATAATAATAATAATAATAATAATAATAATAAATTTTATTATTTATATCCCGCCCATCTGACTGGGTTTCCCCAGCCACTCTGGGCGACTTACAGCATATAAACACAGTAAAACATCAAACATCCGGGGTTGCCTTCAGATGTCTTCTAAAAGTTGTGTAGTTCTTTTTCTCGTTGACATCTGAAGGGAGGGTGTTCCACAGGGCGGGCGCCACTGCCAAGAAGGCCCTCTGCCTGGTTCCCTGTAACTTCGC